CATCCCTGATTTTGCTCCCTCACACCCCATTATTTCCTTCTCTTCTGAGACATTTCCGTTCTTCTGGGGCACACTTTATGTGTCATAACCCTTTTGCACCTTGCCTGACATCCTGTGTTTGTATGTGCTTAACAAGTGCTTGTTGAGTGTCTGTTTCCTAGAATTCCAGTCATTGTTGTCCTCCACTCTCCTCTTCCTGAGAGTAATGCATCCTATTTAACTTTAAAGAAATCCAGAAATGTACCAGATTGACAGAAATTTTAAGTTCACTTTTTTTGTTTGCATAAATAATAGTTCTACATCAGGCATCCTGATCCTACCCTCTCTGCTGGGTCTAAAAGTCTTCCTTGTCTCAGGAGTCTCAGAAGGAACAAGCCAAATGTCGCTCTAAGGTTTGACAGACTGCTGGTTAGGGGACTGATGCTGTAATTGACTGAGATGTATAGGGCTAAAGGAGGCAGGCAGTATTTGAGAAAAAAAATAGAATCTGGATATAAGTTCATTAAATCCTGGGAAAGGGCTATAAGCATAAGTGTTTTCCCCCATCTTTTTATTTTGAAACATTTTGCCATATTCATACTCTACACTCCCTCTCGCCCTCGTGTTTTTGTTGACCTTTTTTTTTTTTTTTCCCCAAAACTAAACTAAGGCTTTTGTACAGTAAAGGCTCCCAGTGTGAAATTCAATGTGCTTGTCAAATAAAATCTCTCTTTTCTTTTTTATATTAATAATGAATGAAACAAAGCAAAAGCTCTTAAGTTAAACTAAATCTTGTGATGTGAAGGGGAAATGAGCACAAATTATTATTTGGCAAATTGTCTTTCTCCCACTTAGCAATAGGTACTTATTAGTTGCCAGATGTTGCCTGTTACGCACTGTCCCTGTACACCTTCATCTGGTTTGAGTCGCCTCCTGCTTGCAACCAGGTCTATCTGCGCCTCCTCTGTCTTAAAATAGCCGTTGTGAAAGCACTTCAGTCACTCAGTCACTTCCAGATTTTCGCCATGCTTCTCTTCCTTACTCTTAAATAGGCTTACTTTTTCTCTAGCGATTCCTCCCTGTTGTAGTATTATAAAAAGCCTCCCTCACCTCCCTCATCATTTGCTTTATTAATGTGATTGCCCTCTGTTGAATGCCTGCCCCCACCCCACCTTCTGTGGAGCCATTAAACTATTGAGTGTATTCGGTGAAGTTTCCCACCCTATTATGACTTCATGCATCACATTTTTTTTTTTTCCTCCTCTGAAACAATAGTGCTCCTCCCATTTGGATTTCAGGACTTTTTAGAAAGAGATTGTATTTTTAATTACCGTGTCTTTGACCTACTTCCCCTTTGCCAATGCTTGTTTCATGTGGGAAGTCCCTGGGTTAACAGGCAGGTTTCGTTCTAGCTTTATTATCACAATCTCGTCTTCCTTTTCTCCCGTGAAGCTTCTCACCCTCGCTGTTCTAGTGCTTTGGAAGCTGTCAAAAAGTTTACATGGCCAACGTGAAAACATGTCAATGTCCCCTGTTACTATATATCTGTGACATTTTTCGTTTATACTCTGCCTGCATCCCAGAGGGATGTGTGGTGACTTATGATTAAAAAAAAAAAGAGAAACCACATAACCCACGTGTCCAACAAGACTGTTAAAAATAGTCAGAAAAGGAAATCAGAAATCATTTAAAGGAATGAATCTGTAACACAAAGTACTTATCAAGCATAAGAAGAAAATTCCTATGAAAAGTGAAAGAAGAACATAACCTTTTTCATTATGCAAGCGCTTTGCTATTTTAGACTAGTAGTGAAAGAAGATGGCTAATTGTGGTCTGAGTATTTCTATGTGGGAACAAAAGTGACAATATTTCTCACTTGTATCCCCCCAAAAATTTTTGTTCTAAAGTCGAGAACTGAAAGGGTTTTGGTTAGTCCCGAATTACTATTGCCAGCCTCTTTAGTCTGATTTATTCACATTTACCACTGACAGCTACCATGTATTGATTACCTGCCATGTGCCAGACCGGCTAGGGGCTAGATATGCATTACCACATTTAGTTCTCATCATTAGACTGTGAAATAAATAATGCAATAGTCCCCCCCTTATTCACAGGAGATACCTTCCAGGACCCCCAGTGGATGCCTGAGACCATGGCTAGTACCAAACCCTTTGTGTACTATGTTTTTTCCTATACATACATAACTTTTCACTTAAAGGAAATACTCTACAGCTTCTCTTCGGCACATCCAAATTGCCAGCATCACTACTCTTGTGCTTTGGGGCCTTTATTAAGTAAAATAAGGGTGACTTGAGCACTAGCACTGTGATACTGTGGCAGTTGATTTGATAACCAGGAGAGCTACCAAGTGACTCACGGGCAGGTAGCTTACACCACGGATACCCGGAATGCAGGGATGATTCACGTCCCAGAGGGGTGGGGGGTGGAGCATGGGATGATATTCGTCATGCTACCCACAACGGCATGCGATTTAAAACATCCCAATTGTTTGTTTCCATTTAGTATTTTCAGCTCACGGCTGCCTACAGGTAACTGAAACCTTGGATAAGAAACCTCAGAACTCTGTGTTAGGGATGAGGAGAAAACAGTATAAATAGGTAATAGGATCGAAGTCACACAGTGGCAGAGTGGGGGTTTGAATCCAGGTCTTTCTGGATTCCCTTGCTATTACCTGTGATGCTTCTTGTTAAAGAACCATCAGGTTCTAAGGTTAGTCACCAAACTTCCCCTTAGTTACTTCCACTTAGTTTTTGCTCAGTTGTGGGGTGTCCTATTTTGAGGTTCAAAAATATGCTTAAAATGATGTGCTGATTTGCATATGCATATGTATGCAGAGGATTAAATATTTTTTTCCTCACGTCTTAATTGGCTTGAGGTTCTAAGATGGGGCTAACTGCCCTGCAATCTCCTTGGAGAAGTGGGGAGCGGGAGGGGAAATAGGGTCAGGATGACTAAGTGAAATACTGACTGTGCCTAATCTAGTGCTCACAGCTAGCTGTTGCTTTGAGGCAGAAGGATCCTGTCATTTATTGAGATGGATACTTTACATGTATTACCTTATGTAATTTTCACAGCAGCCTTTGTGGTAAATGGTTTTAGCCCCAATGTAAAGATGAGTAAACGGAGGCACAGGAAAAAAAAGCAAGTTTGTCCAAGTTCACACAAGGAGAAAGTTGAGTCATCTGTGCTCCATCGATCAATGCAGGTTTATCTGACCCCAAAGCCCGTGGTCTTTCCCTGACAGCACATTCTCATTTCTAACAACAATAATAGCTAATATATAGGGAGGTCTTACTTTGTCCCGAATAGGAATCTTACGATTTTACTGGATTATTTAATTTAACTCTTACATAAGCCTCATGAGCTGTCATCATCTCCATTTTACAGATCATTAAATTGAGGCACAGAGACTTAAAGTAACTTGGCCAGGATCAGAGGGCAAGATAGTAGCAATCAGCAGTAGTATCTACTTAGTCTACTTTCTTACAAACTGTAGTTTCAAGAAGTTGGTACTCTCTGCTCTTTCCCCCTCACTTTCCTTACCTGATTTATAAAAATAGGTTATTTTGGGGCGGGAGGAGGAGTTTGCCTTTTTTAGGAAAAAGCCTGTTTATGAGGGAAGTACTTTCTCTGCGGAGTTACGTATGAGTATAGTTCTCACCACTGTAGGCCTGAGATCTACCAGGGCTGCCTCGTGCTACTTATGGTATTTGGTTATCATGGCTAAACAGTGATCATCTCTCCCTTCATTGCCCACTTTAATAAAGATAACAGAAACTCAAGCTTGTAGGGACCAAGCAGCAAGACTATTTCTTGGCCCCAGTGTTTTCTCCCACTTGAATCAGTCTGTCCGTAGTGACTCACCTTACCTCCCATCCTCATGCCCACTAGCCTGCAGTCGAGTGTAGGCTTTTGCTGCTTTGTTTTGGTCGGCATGTGCTGTATTTTGCTGTGTATAATGTGCACTTTTTTGCCCAAATTTTTGAGGGAAAAATAAGGATGCACGTTATACATGGGTAGAATCTGAAATTATTTGTACCTGATTTTGTGTTATGTAATCATCTGTTACATAAAATTTCTTGTATCATAATATGTTCACAAATAAATGCTAAAATTTCTTTATAATATAAAAAACAAGTATCTAAATATAAATAAATTGAATTAAAACAAAAGATTTTTTTTCTGAAAGTTTGGGCCAAAAATGTGGGCACGCATTATACACGACAAAATACAGTACTTGACTAAGCAAGCATGATGTGGTTCTGAAGCATCTACCATTTGCCTTGGGCACTGTGATGAAGCATGTTCCCATGGCATGAAGTGGCCTTTGTGGCACACAGACCCAGTGTCTCACTCTCCTGGACTCTCCAGTGTTAAGAGCATGGCAGTGCTTCATGGGGTCATTCTTTGGCTTGTATACAGCTTTATTGCAGAAAGCAAAAAACAGAAGTGTTGTGTGCACTGAAGTGTTAATTCAAAATGCACATACTGATTATTTTTTGAATTTTTTTCTTTTATCCATTGTTGCTCATGTAATAGAACTCCTTCAACCACACAAAACTAAAAATAATGAAGAAAGGTGGGTGTGATTCTATGCCCTGATCTTTACTAGCATCTGTGGCCTTGTATCGTCACTGGGCCTCAGTTTCCTCATCATAAGGATTAGCTACAATGTATGGTAAGCACCCAGTACAGAGCCTGGCATAGAGCAGATGTTCCAAACAGAGAAGCTGCTGTTGTTATTATAAAATGCAAAGACGATCTTATGATGTAAAAGCTTAGAGATTTGTTTTGTTATGGTAGTAAATAGTGTTTCCCCGGGGACTTCTTTTTGCAGCTTCTGTGAAAACCAAGGAAAACAGCAGAATAGTGTTTGCAACAAGGAAAGATAGCTCTTTGTTCCCTTCAACAGACAAAGAAGCTCATTATTGTATCAAGTGGTGACTGTTGCTATTGAAATGGTTTATTTGTATGTTTTTTTTTTCTGTTTTTTTCCCTAGGGATTTATTTGTGGCTTTTCAGTAGCAACAGGTGCAGCAGCGAGACTAGTGTCAGGATACGACAGCTATGGAAATATCTGTGGGCAGAAAAATGCAAAGTTGGAATCAATACCAAACAGTGGCATGGACCACACCCATCGGAAGTGAGTAGAATGTTGCTGAATGATGAACACAATGGAAACTTTGAAGTGGGGGGAGAAAATTCTGCTTTTCTTACTGGTGTAAGGATATCTTACTGAATATTATTTTTATGTAACTCCTGTTGATTTTTTCCACACTGTCTTTTTGAATCATTCCTGACCTATAAACTTTCCAGGAAACAAAAGTAGCTGCCATGTTAAAATGGGGTACCTTGAGGTTCTAATGAGTAAAGGCTTGATTTGAGAGGGTTGCTCTCGCACTTTGTTTTCCCACTAGCTTTTAGGTTGTACACTAAGTGTTAACCAAGAAAAATAATATTTTTCTCCCTTTGATTATATTTGATGGGAGATAGAGGGATGATAATGGATTTTGAAACATTAAAGTTATAATGAAACATTTTATAATGCATAATTTATAAGTATACATCAATCCAATTTTATAAAAGATGCATTTGCTTTGTGAGACATTAAAACTTTGTTTTGGGTTTCAAGGTTCATCTTTTGGATTTCATGAAATTCCTGACTTAATTGCCTTTTTTTCTTCAACAGAGCTATTATTTCATTTTTAATGTCTCTGGGGAAAATACATTTTCTCAATCATGTTTTATGTATGATCAGTATATTTGTTTAAACTCTCTATTTATGCCCCCATCAAACTTTATTATAGAGAAGTGTAATGAAGATAGGACTTCAGAATTAACCAAACTAATTTTAAGGTAACAAATTAACCAAACAATTAATGAATTTTATAAGAAAAGCTAAGTAGATTTTTTTAAAAACAAAACATTTTTTAGGCTATATTTCTATTATGAAACATTTTTCAGGATGTAATAAGTATATTTATTATTAGATAAATTTGTTGCTTAAATCTGGGTCCCTACTGGAAAGTATAAGATTAATGTGGTAATTTCACAAATGTGAAGATATCCAAGTAGTTAATCACAGCTCAGAGAAATTCCTCCATTTAACAAAGGAATAATAAAATTCAAATAAATAAAAATTTAAGTAATAATAATGAATATGTGTGTAGCACACCATAGTCAAGAAGCACATGCTACCACCCTGTGAGGCGGGTGTAGTAGAAGCTTAGAGATACTGAAATGACTTTTCCAAAAGTTTGGTGGGCAGTGGAATATCCAACGCAGACCATGAGCCTTTCTCTTGTATGCACCTGCATTCCCTTACAGAAGTGAAAATTGGATTCTTAGAGAGTAATGTGAAGGGTTGTTTCATTTTTCCTTTTGGATTGCTCCATGAAATTAACACAAATTTTAGGTCTTATACAATATTCCTGTAGCAAGACTGCCCATATACTTTTTGCTTTTCTTTTTATTTTGAAATAATTCTAGACTCATATAGAAGTTGCAAAAAAACGTGCAGAGTTCCACATATCTTTTTTTCGTATCTAGTGTCCCTCCCGTCAAACACTGTTTAACTCTTTAATATTGTTTACACGTACCAAACATAGACAACCACTTAGATAACTGAGGAGATAGGAGGAAAAGGGCTCTCCTCTCTCAGGTCGACTGCTCATGTGAGGTTGCAGTTATTTTTATGGATCCTTTTATAACTTGCTTCAGACTCCAAGCATATTCTCACCATACGGTTTGTGTAAATGTCACCCATCACACTTAACCTAATGGAGGTTCATTTGGTTAATTTTTAATTTCAGATCCTTTGGTTATTCTACGTACATTTTGACCTCTCACAAAGAGAGTCTGCTATTATTTAAAAAAAAAAAAGTGGTTACTTTTCCCTGAATGTTGAACATAGTCAAGAGCCATTCACGGATAGCTTAGCTGTAGGGGAAATACTGTATTTTGCTGTGTATAATGCACACTCATGTGTTTGGACCAAACTTTAAGTGAAAAAAACCTTGGTTTTAATTTTTAATTCAATTGTTTATTTATTTATATTTAAAAACAAATTTGATTATCGTATTCCAGGGTATTATTTTGCATACAGATATCATTATTACTTTCTAGAGTTATACTTTTAATGCATAAGCATAAATAAAAGAATTAAAAACACTTATATAGATATGAATTAGAACTACCCATGTATAATACGCATCCTTATTTTTCCCTCAAAAATTTGGGCAGAAAAATGCACATTATACATGGCAAAATATGGTAGTTTCCAAAGTATAAAGATGCCCTAACTTATGTATACATGTTTAAAATTTATTTTTAATCTCTACTTGCCTCTTCTCTGCATATGAGCATTTTAGTGCTGACCCATCTAAGTATTTGTTTTAAATGGTTATTTTTAAAAAATGAATGGTACATTTTGAACGTATGTTTCTCAGGTAAGTCTATTTGAATTTGAAAAGAGACAGAAAATCTTTATTACTTTTACTCAGTCCTTATCTTTTTTTCTGCTAAATGCATTGGTTTCCTCCTTTTTCACTCATTTCCTCATATGTCTTCAGCGTTATTATGAATACCAGTCCCTTCCATAGCTATAGACTTTTTTTTACACCTGTTTTGTCTGTTATAACCTCAACTTGACCTTGATCACTTTCTCCTAGCCCTTATCCTCAGCCCCAGTACCTACTACTTACTATGATCTCCATGCATATTTTTTTAATAAGTTAATGAATGGGTCTTCTAAAATCTTGAATACAACTAACTCTTGCCTTTGTGAATATTGTTTTCTCTATCAGAAAAAAAAAATTCTCCCATTTTTTACATGACTAATTCTATTCATCCTTCAGTTCTCAGTATAAACGTTACTTCCCCCCCCAAAAAAGTCTTTTTTGGTCTCACAAGTTAAATCAACTATTTAAAAGTACCCTTTCAGTGGGTCCTGTAATATGTGTAATTTATTTTGTGATAATTTGTTAAATGTTTGTCTCTTCTAATTTCCACAAGAACAAAGATGAGGTCTGTTTTGTTGGCTTCTTATCCTCAGTATCTAGAACATAGACACTCAATTCAATGTTTGTCGAATGAGTAAATAAATTTATTTCATTTTTAGAATATGATCTAAGAAGTGAATTACTGAGTCTGAGGATCTGAATATTTTAAGATTATTAATGCATATTGTTAATGGCTTTCCTTAAAGGCTGTTCCATTTACATTCCCACCAACAGTGTCTGGGGTTGCTTTATTTTTGCTAGTATTACTAGTCTTTAATTTTTACTAATTGTATCAACTAAAAATGGTGTTTTATAGTTTTAATTTGTGTGTCTTTGATTATTCATGAGAGTGAACCTTTCTTCCACCATGTGTTCTTTGGCCTCTCAAGAAGACTATTATGCTAGCCTGTCTATTCTTGTCTTACCTCTAATCTTCTCTATCCTTTATACTGTGATAAGATTAAGTTCTTTAAAATACTTATCATTTCCATGCCCAGAAGCCTTTCTTTTAGTGTTGCTGCCGAATGTATCAAAAATGAGTCCACTCATTGCCCGCCATCCCAGGCTTCCCATGATTCAGACCCTTTGTATGTACTCGGCCTTCTCTCCCTGTTCCTCAGTGTATTAGTATTGATTTTCAGTTGATTTTACCTCTGTGTTGTTTCCTTACCTCTCTGCCAGTGAATTCCTGAAAGACTTTTAAGGTGGGTCTCATAACTAACTTCTTTGTGAAATATTTCAAAATTAACTTGATCCTGTAGTGATCTTTCCTTTATTATCTGAACATTCATTCCTATTTCACATTTGTTTTTCTGTTGCCTCTTAAGTTCTTCTCTAATTATAGTCTGTGTTTTTACCTGCATTAATTATCAGTAGCTAGGTAACAATATTGCCATAAACTTCGTGGCTTAAAACAAGATGCAAATACTTTACTATTCTATTGCTTGTCCTTTAACTTTTCTACATATGTATATTACTATGTAGTCTTAAATGTTTAATATAGTCATATTGTCAATATTTTACTTTATAGCTTCTGGATTTGAATATTTTACTTCAGAGTAAGGAAAATATTATTTTGTATTTTCTCCTAAAACTCCTTAAATTTTACGTATTGATTTTTAACTCACCTGAATATTTCTTGTATAATGTGTGAAATAGGGCTTTATATTTGTTTTATTTCAAGTAATAATGGTCCATGCACCTTATTTGTTGAACAAGCCTTATTTTCCCCATTGATGTGAAATATCAATTTAATCACATATTACATTATTAGACAGATATATATGTTTGTTTCTAAAATGCTCATTATATTTCATTGATCTACTTAATTATTTCTCTGCTGGTGTCATGTTGTTTTTATTGCTGAGACTTTATAATGGATTTAAATTTTTTAACATTTTATAATAGATTTTGACATTTAAAAAAAATAAATCTGCATTTTTACCAAAAAAAAGAAAGAACTCCTACCTTTTATGACAATATGGATAGAACTGGAGAATATTATGCTAAGTGAAATAAACCAGTCGGTGAAAGACAAATACCATATGATCTCACCTATAAGTGGAATCAATCCAACAAAATAAACCACAGGCATGGAAACATGGAGCAGACTGAAAGTGACCAGAGGGGATGGGGAAAGAGGACAATGGTGGATGGGGAAAGAGGACAATGGTGGAAAGAAGGGGAAGGGACTAGAAAAAGAACGTCTATGAATGACCCATGGACATGGACAGCAGAGTGGGAATTGACTACGGGAGTGGGGGTGGGGTTGGGATGGGTGGAGGGGGGTAAAGGGGGAAAATAGAGACAACTGTAATAGAATCAACATTATTTTAAAATTAAAAATAAAAAAAAACCCAAAAACCAAGATGCAGCCCTGGCTAGGTAGCTCAGTTAGTTAAAGTGCTGCCCTGATACACCACGGTTGTGGATTTGATCCCCAGTCAGGGCTTATACAGGAATCAACCAATGAATGCATGACTACATGGAACAAATTGATCTCGCTCTCTCTCAAATCAATCACTAAATTAAAAAGTAAATAAAAAACAAGGTGCAGACACATTTACTATCTCGCAGTTTCTGTGAGTCAGGAATCTGCATATGGCTTCATTGTATCTCCTGCTTCAGAGTCTCTCCCAGGCTG